AATTATTTTTCTCTTTATAAATCATAATAACCAACGAAAAGACATCATAACTGGTTTACTGCATTGCTTTAATTATATCGATGAGTACACAAATAAATTCAATCAAAAATTATGAAATGACAATATTTATAATTATAAGAGAATAAATAATATCATTAACACTTTTTGTTTTTGTTTTGTATTTAATTTCTTAATTGCCTTCAATCTCCTCTTGTGTAATGTTCCATTAAGAATAATACCACCTCAATTACATCTTAGAAACACGACTTTTTCCTTCAGAGAGACACATATACTAATAAAACATTATTATGATCTTCAATATATACCCGAACTCTATGTGAAACTAAATATAACTCCACAATATATTCATAGTTTTTAGAAATGAACATTGGTGTCCGAAAGTCAAGTGAAACTAGACAAACACAAGTTTTGAGTCCTTTCTTCTGACACTACGTTAGTCTGAATCCCTCCTACTGGCATTACGTAAGTCTGGAGTCCCTCCTCGTGACGCTACATAAGTCTAGAATCCCTCCTCCTGATATTACGTTATTCTGGAGTTCCTCCTCTTGACACTACAAAAGTCTGTAGTACCTCCTCCTGAAACTACGAAGGTCTTTTAAAGTCCGCCCTCCTCACATTACGCAAGTTATTCGTTTCCTTAGTGACGTGAGCAGGAATCTAGTTTAACAATCATGAACATGGTTCACACTTCCTAGATAAAAAAAAATCTCTTAATTTTCACCTTATTTGCATTAATCACCTATAATTTGTAAAATCCCTACTATAACTATCCTTTGAATTAGTTTCGTACGAACAATACATATTATCATAAATTAGTAAAAAGCAACCGTCATATTGTTTTTATTTACAAATAAATTGTACGTTTTTCTAATTAAAGGAATTTCAAAGCACACAGCCGTTCAACAAGAATTTGAATTAAGTCTTCTTTGGTTTTCCCTGAACAGATCAAAATGTACAAATCTGGTAAAACATGAAACAATAGTTTGACATTAGCCTCAACAGTTTTGTTGTCGCTCAAACATGCATGATACTCTTCTATCAAGTGTATTAACCGTTCTGCCTCATCTCTCCATTTCCTGAACGCGGAAAAAAGTTCAGGTTTCGAAATTGCTAATGCGACTGAATGATATAATTTAGGAACCTTAAGAAGGATACTACCACCTTCATCGAGGCAGTCTGACAGGAAGCTTATGACGGCAACCTTATTTTTACCAAACACATCACCTCTTAGCAGATTTCTTTCTGGTATCATGTAGTTTGGTAAATGATTGTTAATGACGCAGTGCTTTATGAAAAATATCGCTTTTTGAATTAGATTTACTAAGTGACTGGGGGCGTTACTGACAGGAATCTGTCATTTCCATGACCCAGAAATAACATTTTTTACAACATATGAAGTTAAAAAGTTACATCTCGGTTTTAGTAGTGTTTTAGCCATGATTTTAATGAATACGTATGCTTTTAAGTTGAGTATCGGAAAGAACTTGACACTAAATCTCTTTTCTGCTGTAGTATACATATTCTCCATTCATTATGCTTGCATGTCGCTTTGTTTGTCCCAATTGGCGTACAATATATCCTTCCATCTGGGATACTTCATTCACAACCATCGGATGTAGGCCATTGCGTGATTCCTTTGATCTGTTTGTCACTTGTTTAAATAATTTACCATCCATTAGAAATAAATACTTATCACTGAATCTATTTGTACTTTTAAATCATCATTTGGTTGGAAGGCCGGTCCTGAACACTTACAAAAGATCTTATTCATTGCATCCAATGTAATACCTTTGAATTAGGAGAAGAATTTCATAAGACATGTTGTCTTTCATTCTAATCCTGTTTTTTAAGAATATTTGAATTGCATCTGTATATTGTAAATTATAACATGTATATATATTCTGAGAAATAAAATATGTTTAAACTAATACCTTTGAATTGTTCACTAGATATATATTTTTTCCCCGATTGCGTACGATATTTGCTCATTATTTGCAAATACATGTACTTTTCAATCATAGATGATGTTCTTAAATCAAATGAATCAAGGTTAGAAATAAGAACTATTTTTGTGTAACCTGGTGCCGTACAAGTTCGGTCACTTTCAAGAACTACGATGTTACTATTCTCGAAGCCTTCATCAACGCATACGATATCTGGAAGTATATACATCACGTCCATATCACTGTCGGACAGTTGGACACCTTCGCCTGCACTACCAACTAGTAATGTATGAGAAAAACGAATTTCACCGGCTCTATGTGGAATTATTTTACTACAATCGTCTAATGCTTTTGATCGAAGTTCAATTTGCTCTTTACTGTACCCAAAACTATCCAATATAGTACATAATGATAGAGACAAGTTCTTGTCATTTGTAGATGACATTGTGAGTGGCATAGAAGCCGATGTTCCTGTTTTAAGAGTTGATTTTCTTCAATGCCATGGTCCTGAAAGAAACAAAGACAGCAATATGTATTCCTTTTATTGCATTTAAAATGTAAAAATTACTTCTAATGCTAAAAAAATAAATGAGTGTTGAAACGTTGATAGTATGTAAATAATAAAATGGAAATGTAAAAATTACAATAATTATACGGATTTTATAGAAGACGAAACATAAAGTTCATTTTTTTAACTAACAATTAACTTGTGTTAAGTATAAATAGCTGCATTCGCAATTTTAATTATGTATAAGATGATATTATATGCACTAATACACCCAACTTATAAAGAAACCACTCACAACAATGTGAAACAGGGAATATTTTGTTTAGTATTTTATAGTGTTAATTTACAACGAATCCATTTCCATGCATTTTAAAATAGAGCTTGTTTAGCAATTCTTTGTTTTAAGTTTTTATCTATTTTTTATCTACCCATTTATTCATCTATGAATTAATTTATGCCGAAAGCTTATACATATCAAATCATTTACATATATTATCGCATGACGCTTTTGAATAAATACAAAAGTCTTATAAAAATACAATCTAAAAGTAACGTACAAATATACAAATCTGTATGATTATTTTTTTTTGTATTTTAATCTTTGATAATGTACTGTAAATTTAATTATATGTCACATAAAATTACGTACCTTGTGAAATATTGTGTCAATCCTTCATTGCATAGTAGCTATCTTAGAGGCGAAAAAACGGATATTTATAGGGAGAGGACATAAATGAGGATACTTAGATAATTAACTACATACTTATACTATAATTTCCTTAATTATCAGATACTCAAACTCCTGATCTTAAAATCACAAGTTTTTCTTCTTCTTTTTCTTCTTCTTCTTCATATTGCTTCATGGTATGTTATATATATCTTTGTCGTGGTTCCAAATTGGAAATAAATTACTTCTTATGCCACTCATGCACACACCTAACATTTTGTAAGCCTTCCCAAAGTCTTAGTTTGAAAATACTTAAGTCAATACATATCAGATCCTTTCAGATGGACAATACAGGGTGTAACAGACGTTTTTTCTTGTAACTATATTTTGTCGCAAATACTTCTTCTGTCTCTCGTCCGATTGCAATATTGAAATTTATCACACACCCGTGCCGATTTTGCAACTCTGTAAATATGGTATTGCACGGCCGTGCATATATTTTGACGTGACGTCATAAGCGTTATACAAACATAGTGTAAAGACGCGCTAAATGTTAGCGTTATACTATAGGCGCGTCAATGAAAAATGACTCTTATTTCACTTAAAACGGTCTTTATTTTTGGTATGTGATAAATAGAATATTAAATTCGTGTAAGTTCATTACTGAATTTCTTGCACTCGTTGAATAAAATAATATTATGCTCGCCAGAGGCTCGCATAATATAATTTTATTCAACTCGTGCAATAAATTTAGTATTGAACTTACACTCATTCAGTATCCTCTATATTCATATTCACACCGTTTTTCCTAAATCCAAAATCATTCTAAATACGTTTGGTGTAAATCAAATTTCGTAATAACGTTAAAAGTGTTAAATTTTACAGTGTATATGAAACATTTTTTTTTGTGTTAACTATACAATAAAATGAAGTCTGAAAGATTTGGTAAAATTATGTATTTACTCATGAGTTCAGCACTGATGAGTAGACTTTTTTTCCTAATAAAAAAAACCCTGAGGGTGGGGGAGCTTTATTAGAGGAAGGGCGTTTAAAGGGAATTTTACAGTATATGTATTTGAGTAAAATGCTGTATCCGAAAAGCCAAAACAAGATGTGATGTCATTGAAATAATCTCCTTCAGCCCTTACCTTGTCGAAACAGAAACTGGTAAGCATCTGCCACCCAGGATAGATCATTACTCCCCTCGTTTTTCCAAAATAACCATTTAATTTGTATTGGATAGCATGGGTAATGTTAAATCATCAAAGTTAATTATTCCCCCTAATATTAGCATTGATATTATTAATAATATCGTTTATGAAAAAAAAGAATATTAAACTCGAACTCTGGTCTCCCTGTTTTACGCCGATATGTGATGATATTTGTTTATTATATCGAATTGCGGCGTTAACTTTACTATACATGCTTTTAATGGCATTTGCGAATTTTGAGCTTACACTTTCTTGTATAAGTTAAATATTAATACAAGTTATTGTAAGTTAAATTTGAAATGTTGGCTTGGTTCGAGTTTAAAAGAAAGAGGTATCAAAAGAAAAAGATCAGAACTTACTAGTTGACATTCATGTCGACTCATATGTATGCTGTTCTGATGGTAACACTTACATCAATGGACAAGTAAACACTGACGTTTAAGATATACATTTTACCCCTTTTTGTTTGCTTTTGGTGCCGGTTTCTTGTCTTAAATAATGTTCTTTAACGATTATGTAAGTCGAGGAATACAAAAATCAACATGCGAGATCGCCTTTCACGGCACACAGCCTACAATAACATCCAGCCGAACTCCAGCAAGACAAAGACAGGAGGGCCCAAGGGCGAAAAAGGGACAGGTCTGCATAAAACATACAGTACGACGCACATGCATGGTATAAATACTATTAGAGGGGTATTACAGGAAAGAGGAAAGGGAAGTATAATTTAAAGGTAAGGTAAAGGGATCCAATAATTAAGGGAGATAACTATCGAATCGGCAATACACAAAATTGCGAAGAGCACATACAGAGAGGCTCTGCATAGAAACGGTCAAGAACAAAATCCCTTTTTTGGAGATTAAACCGTTTAAAGGTGCGGCTTACATTACTCTACCCCAGAGCATGTGCTCTAATAAAACATAGTGTCAGTACAATGATTCCCCGCTTTATTTTGTAATAGTGTGCAAGTCATTTGGGATTACTGATTCTAGTACAGTTAGTGTTTGGACATAAAGCCAGTGCTAGGGAACATGTAACACTATCTAGAGTTTAAAAATGTTTGGTATGATTACAATGATCAGTGTTCGGCCAGATACAAACACGTGTATCGTGGTGCTTCAATTGTGAGATATGCTAATGTACTCAAAGCGCACCGTGGTGCATCAGATGTGAGACATGCTCTAGTACACAAAGCGCACCTTGGTACATCAGATGTGAGACATGCTCTAATACACAAATGCGGCACCTTGGTACATCAGATGTGAGGGACATGCTCTCAATACACACAAGCGCACCTTTGGTACATCAGATGTGAGGACATGCTCTAATACACAAAGCGCACCTTCGGCTACATTTCAGATGTGAGACATGCTCTAATGTACACAAAGCGCACCTTGGCGTACATCAGATGTGAGACATGCTCTAATACACAAAGCGCACATTTTGGTGCACAAATTGTGAGACTCCATGCTCTAGTACACAAAAGCGCACCCTTGGTACATCAGATGTGAGACATGCTCTAATTACCCAAAGCGCACCTCTGGTTTACATCAGATGTGAGACATGCTTTAATACACTAAGCGCACCCTTGGTACATCAGATGCTGCGAGACATGCTCTAATACCAACAAGACGCGCACATTTTTGCGTGCACAACATTGTGAGGACATGCTCTAGTACACCAAAGCGCACCTTGGTACATCAGAACTGTTGCAGAACATTGCCTCTAATACACAAAGCGCACATTTTGGTGCCACAAATTGTGAGAGGACATGCTCTAGTACACAAAGCGCACCTTGGTACATCAAGATGCTGAGACATGCTCTAATACACAAAGCGCACCCGTGGCTTACATCAGATGTGAGAGACATGTTTCTAAATACAACAAAGCGCACCTTGGTACATCAGATGTGAGACATGCTCTAATACACAAAGCGCGCACCTTGGTACATCAGACTGTGAGACATAGCTCTAGTACACAAAGCGCACCTTGCCGTACATCAGATGTGAGACATGTTCTAAATACACAAGCGCACCTTGGTACATCAGATGTGAGACATGCTCTAATACACAAAACAGCGCACCTTTTTGGTACAATCAGATGTGAGACATGCTCTAATACACAAAGCGCACCTTGTACATCAGATGTGAGACATTGTTCTAATACACAAAGCGCACATTGGTACATCAGATGTCGAGACATGCTCTAATACACAAAGGCGCACCTTGGTACATCAGATGTGAGACATGCTCTGAATACACAAAGCTCACCGTGGTACATCAGATGTGAGGACATGCTCTAAGTACACAAAGCGCACGCTTCGGTACATCAGATGTGCAGACATGCTCTAATACACAAAGCGCAACCTTGGTACATCAGATGTTAGACATGCTGCTTACTACAACAAACAGCGCACCGTGCGTACATCAGATGTGAGATATGCTCTAATACCACAAAAGCGCACCTTGGTACAATCAGATGGAACATGCTCTAATACACAAGCGCAAAACCTACATCAGATGTTGAGACATGCTTTAATACACAAAGCGCACCTTTTGTACATCAGATGTGAGACATGCTCTAGTACAACAAAGCGCACTGTGGTGCATCAGATGTGAGACATGCTCTAATACACAAGCGCACTGTGTACATCATATGCGTGAGACATGCTCTAATACACAAAGCGCACCTGTACATCAGATGTTGAGACATGTGAGACATCTAATACACAAAGCGTACCTTGGTACATCAGATGGTGAGAAGACATGCTCTAATACACAAAGCGCACCTGATGGTACCTCAGATGTGAGACATGTTCTAATACACAAAGCGCACCTTTGGTACACATCAGATGTGAAGACATGCTCTACATACACAAACGCGCACCGATAGTACATCAGATGTGAACATGTTCTAATACACAAAGCGCACCTTGTACATCAGATGTGAGACATGTTCTAATACACAAAGCGCACCTTGGTACATCAGATGTGAGACATGCTCTAATACACAAAGCGCACCTTGGTACATCAGATGTGAGACATGCTCTAATACACAAAAGCGCACATTGGTACATCAGATGTGAGACATGCTCTAATACACAAAGCGCACTGTGGTGCATTCAGATGTGACGACATGCTCTAATACACAAAGCGCACTGTGGTGCATCAGATGTGAGACATGCTCTAATACACAAAGCGTCACCTTGGTACATTCAGATGTGAGACATGCTCTAATACACAAAGCGTACCTTGGTACATCAGATGTGAGACCATGCTCTAATACACAAAGCGCACCGTGGTACATCAGATGTGAGAACATTGCTCTAATACACAGCGCACTGTGGTTACATCAGATGTGAGACATGCTCTAATACACAAAGCGCACTGTGGTACATCAGATGTGAGACATGCTCTAATACACAAAGCGCACTGTGGTGCATCAGATGTGAGACATGCTCTAATACACAAAGCGCACCGTGGACATCAGATGTGAGACATGCTCTAATACACAAAGCGCGCACTGTGGTGCATCAGATGTGAGACATGCTCTAATACACAAAGCGCACTGTGGTGCATCAGATGTGAGACACTGTTCTAATACACAAAGTGCACCGTGGAACATCAGATGTGAGACATGCTCTAATACACAAAAGCGCACCGTGGAACATCAGATGTGAGACATGCTCTAATTACACAAAGCGCACCTTGTACATCAGATGTAGAGACATGCTCTAGTACACAAAGCGCACCTTGGTACATCAGATGTGAGACATGCTCTAAGTACACAAAGCGCACCTTGGTACATCAGATGTGAGACATGCTCTAATACACAAAGCGCACCTTGGTACATCAGATGTGAGA